CCCTCAGATTCCTCACCTGTGCTGTGATGGAGAGAGCACAGTGCCTGGGAACTGCAAGAGAATGCAACCAAAAAGCCAGGGCCACATTACAAACAGCAAGTGACAGATGGCCCTCCTGATCAAATGTAAGAGAAGAAAGTACTCTCCGCAATTTCAATGAAGCCTTTAATATACAAGGGAGCAGGAGGACAATGTCCCCACCTTTGTCCCTAAAGACTTCATTCAAGGACTTTAACATCTGGTCTGCCGTGACCCATCTGAGAGGGGCCTGGGATTGACATGGAACAAGTCCAGCTGCCAAAATGGAGTTCGTTCCCTTCATTCCATTTTCAAAGCACAGTCATCGCTCAGTGAGTCTATAATCCAAAGCAGCTGCCAAGATCGCCAAAGTCACCAGCCAGCAGTTCAGCAGACAGCGGTATATCTGCTTGCCTAAGTGACATGTCGGTGGATGAATGAAAGAGAAATAAGTAAATACCAACACTGTGGACAAACAACCTTTTAAAAACAAAACAAAGCCCTAAGAAAATGAGGTATTCTCTGTAGAAGTTTAAGAATCTACTGTTCATTGTCCAGTACTACTGCTGGCCCATTGTCTTGTCTGCCATTATTTAAAGACAACTGACAGGTTTATAAACAAGATGCCAGTCCTTTCGTTCTACTAACAAACATGCAGTCCATCTGCCTCCAGTCAATGATGGGGCACGTGGAGATAAGGCAATGAGGTATTTTTAAGCACTCCCTTAATTAATTCATTCCAAGGACTTGGCACTTGGAGCATCATGGGGTGAGGGGTGGGCAGAGGGCGGAGAGAGCAAGCTCACAATCCTGGTAAATAAAGAGATTTGCCATAATCTGGATTCTAAAGCCCTTTCTATGAAGCATCCCGACTGCCTCCAGCAAGCTGTTAGGGACATGCAAGTGAGAGCTATAAGTGTGGGGATGCCAGGCATTTGTTAGATTTTTAACAGACTGTGAGGACAAGTTCTTAAAATGAAAACAAAGCCAAAATTTGATCTTGAGAAGGGTCCTTCTGCCTTCTCCTGCTCATGTTTTATTAGATTAAAATAATGATGGGAGGTCATCAAAATGAAGTGGATATTCAGTTCATTCTGAGAGGCAAACAGTCCAAAATGAGGGACAAATTCGATGTGGAAAACAATGAAGGAGGAAGCCACAGAGGAATGTGGAGAGGAAATTTTCTTTGAGATGAACCTGTGATGAGCTTCTCGGTGTGAAAAAGCTTTGCAATTCTGGAAGTGTGGGATTTATGACACACTGATCTAGAAAGCTCACATTGTGCTGCTAGATATTCCTTGCTTTTGGAGCCAAAGAATCATCTCTTAAGACATTTCCTTGTTTGACACATCCCTTAAAGACAAAGCCCAAGGAGAGGAGGCCTAACTGTGTCACATGAGAGGGGAGAGGAAGTCATCACCGGCACTACCACACAGACCCATTTCTGATTTCTAATATCCTAGTGTTTCCACTTTACAAGTTTCATTTGGATTTAGAAATCATTTCTTGAGAATTAAGCTTTCAATTGGTCACAAGAGACTGTCTTAGTAAACATGAAATGGCTTTCTCATAGTGCCACTAATAGCCATTTTACCCAAGGGGGGCAATTTCTACACTCTAGAAAATGAGAAATGAAATTTCAGCAAAGCTGAGGCACGCACTAGGCAAATCCCTGGAGAGACCCAACCCCAGGTCCTCCACTCGCCCCTCAGTAAATCCACTCCACAGGTCCTCCTCTAGCTAACCCCAACTTCAGTGTCCAGGGGAAAGAGGAGACCAGTGTTACGGTTTGCTTTTCTTTGCTTGAAATAATAAAGTCAAGGGTCTCTTCACAGTTTTCAGCTCTCTAGTTTTCCACATTACTTGCTGTCTAAATCAAACTGAAACCCAAGTCCTTGTGATTGGCTTGCACTCTGTCACCTTAGCTCCTGGGAGATAATCATAAAACAGATCACCTTGAATCTCTGAAATATTGTAGTAACCCATTTGTCCCTCACTCCTGAAAATGTGTTTCCAAAATTTTTGCTTCTTCTTCAGCATCTGGACACTCCACTGTGCCCCAGTCAATAAAAGACCCCAGTCTATCCACTACTCACTACTTATAATCTCTTTCCAATTTGGGTCAATCACCTAAAAGCCATCTCAGTAATTCTACGTACGACTGCTAGGAATGCTCAGCCACCAAATTAGATCTTGCTTTACAAGAAAACACTTCTTGGCATGTAGGAACTACCAAGGAGACACTGTTATTTTTATAGAAACTGGATATTCATAATCTCAATTCCAAATAATCAGAAACTTCAAGTAACTTGACAATGACGAGTAAGCTCTACAAAAGGCAAAGAGCAAATATACATATTATAAAAAAGAATATTCTAGAAGGCAACTTGCAGGTAAATATACCAAATATTTGAGACAAAGCCAGTTATCTTCTGCACCAACTATGTCTTAGGATACTCTTCAGTGATATCTTACATCTCCAGAGAAAACCCCACAGCTCAGCCAAATCCTGGAGCCCTTCTGGGAAGATATTATATTCTATATAGTTTTATTCACAAAGTCTATTATCATTGGACTATCTACTTAATAATCAAAAATTCAGATGTGACAATGCAAATGAGCATTTTGAAAGTGAAGTTCTAAACAAGGATAAGATGTCACTATTGCTTCTAATAGTTCTTCAAACATTGGTAATCCACATATATTGTTGATGGCATACACCAAAATAGTCAGTTTACCATAGTGTCTCGTGGTAAATTCGTGGGTTCCAGTTGAACTGAAGTACATAAATTTACAGAATATAGTTATATGGCTATTCTAACATACGACCCCATAGTGCATGTTTCAGAAAGAGAGAGAGAGAGAGAGAGAGAGAGAGAGAGAGAGAGAGAGAGAAGGAAGAAAGGAAGGAAAGAAGGAAGGAAACAGTTTTAATATTGCTAGGGTAGCAAAGGAGACCATCCTGGAAAATATTGGTGAATTTTGCTTTACAAAGCATGTTAACCAAGGAATACCAGCTTACAGGAAAAATTCATTCATAAAAGTCCTTAACTACAGATTCTAAAAATCAGTTCCCAGACTCTCTGTACCCCACCCCCAAAGCCTAGCATGCCTGATTCTACCCAACAAGGATTCAGTAACAGCTCCTGGAAGAAAAGGGCTTTGAGAATGACTTTTGCTAATCGGTTACTGCTCTTAAATAATAATAGGTCGTAGATCTTTCTATATGTGTTTCCTAGCGTTTCAGATTTTATTTTAAAATGTCTTTAAACTCAAGTTTCTATTAACAATGCACAAAGAACAAAGATAACCCTTGAATGTGAGTCTTCCTAGACACTAAAATTTACTTCTACTCTGTATTTAATGTTCAGTCATTCAGCAGCTCTCACTGATGGCAAAGATGAGATAAACACACTCAGTTTGTGAAGTTTCATTGTCTTTACTTCTGCTTTCTTTCTGGCCATCAAATTTGGGAACGAGTTGGATGCAGGATTTGAAAAACGAGCATCATCTATGGTTTTCACAGATATTTTTCAACCTATCCTTTAGGAGTAGAGGTAAGTTTAGAAAGGCCTTGAAGATAGCCAGAAAAGCCTTTGTATCTTTTCTAATATGTAAGCCTTCCAAATAAAACACAGAGAGGCACTGATGTTAAGCCATATGGACCCTTAATAGTTAATCTTGGATATCTGGGTTCTGGTTTTTGTTTTACGTGAGATACCACCTTCCTCCTTTGGACACAGGTGTCTTTCTTGAAAATATTTTTGAGAAATAATAATTTAAAAAGCTCCACACTGCTAAGCTTGTTAGAGCAAGAAGAAAAAGGAAGTTTCATATTATGACAAGATGCCAGACCTCTCTGGAAGGACTCCAGGGGACAGAGAAAGGATGGGTTCCTTTCCTTGGACACAGACAGCTTTAAAACTATTCTCCTTTGTTGTAAGTTGGAATCTAGATACTGCATTTGGACACCAGCTCTTCACCCCTGCTGAGCGAGTCATTCCCCCCAAAATAAGCTTGTGAAGTTAACAAAACATAGTATAGGCACTCTGGAAAGTGCTAGGGCCAAAAAGTCTCCACCAGAGCCCAGAGGAGACCCTGATATCTACTTTTCACACAACACAGATCGAATGATCTTCTGTAAGTGGCTAGTGCCATTTTTTGGTTCTAGGGCTGGATTCTTCCACCAATCATTTTATTCCCATTCAGGTTTCTAGCAAGCCTGCGACACTGGCCCAGAGATATTTCCTTAGACTTGTGAGTGTTCTCGGGATCCTTTTGCCCCGCACAGCTCAATCTTCCTCTTTATCAGTAGGTGCTTTCTGCATGCCAAAGATAGGCTCAGGAGGCAAGAGGCGACTTCAGGTTCTTGAGGAAAATAGAGAAGCCAAAGCCGCTGCACACGGAGTCTGGAGACTCCTATCCCAGCCCAAAACTACAAGTTTTCCCGCCTCCTCCCGGGAAGCACCCAAATCTTTTTCACCCTGCCTTGCAGCTGGCCAGGGAGATTCCGACATCCAGGGTCAAAGAGGAATCCCTAGGGTCCTAGAACCTCAGCGACAGCAGACATGGGGTTCAAGGCCACCGCGCAGAATCTCGCCCCGCCCCGGCCCCGGTCCAGCCCATTCATCCCGCGGGTCCCGGGTTCCCAGTCCGGGTCGCGCTCACCCACTGCGCTCGCCCACGGCTTCCTTTCTGCTCGCACCCCGGCCAATCTCTATTGTTTTTAAACCACAAAAGTAACCTCCAGAGGGTTTTTTTTTTTTTTCTTCACACTTCTCACACCTCCACCATACCTTAAACCCTGCAATTAAAACAGCCCCCTTTCCCAGCAGTCACAAAGAGTTAAGCGGCAAGCTCCATCCACCTCCAGCCAAGCCACCGCTCTGCCACTATCCCCAAGGCCTGGCGCGACATCTGTCCGTTCCCAACCCGGATAGGAGACGGCCACCCCGCGCGCGGCTCCCCGAAAGCCCTCTCACCCTTCCGCGGATGCCATGGTCTGGGGAACGCCCCCTCCTCTTCGGCACGGTCCGGAAACGGCGGGCCAGGGAGCGAGCGGGCGCCGGGTGAGCTCGAGAGTGTGGCGGGGAGCGATATTTAAGGGGGAGTCTCTCCCCGCCCTTCCGCCCCCCTCCGGGGTAAGCCCTTTAGCGCCTCAACGGGCGCCGGAGGATCCTGTGAGCGCTAATCCACGTCCCAGCTCTCCCCCGCGCGTGCCCAGCGCGCCCCTCCGCGCGTCGCCGCTGCGCTCGGAGAGACGCCGGGGGAACCGAAGGTGGCTTCCCGCAGCGCGCGCTGTCCCCCGGGGCTGGAGGAGCGCGCACGCCCACGGTGCGCCCCCGCCGCCTCCGAGGCCACCTGTGCTTTGCCGCGGGGCCGGCGGGCTCCGAGATGGGTGGCCGCGGGAGGAAGGCGAGTGTGAGAGCCGGGGAGTGCGAGCGTGCGCGCGTGTGCGGGTGTGTGCGCGCCGGGGGAGGCGGCGGAGGCCCCTGCGCTCTGGCTCCGCGCCGGCCGGGGAGGGATTGCGAGGTTTAGCCCCGCTGGAGCTGGGGATTTGCGGGCGATCCCTCTCTATTTTCGTCGAGAGCTGACATCACCCGCGCTGCAGCCTCGGGCGACTCCTTTAACAGCCTCCCCCGCCCTTCATCTCGAGACCCGGTCCCTCCTCTGCTGTCCCTCCCCCCACCACCCAGCCTTTCGCCATAAATTAGCCAAGTAAGAAAAGAGACCTAGCCGGTCGTCCGGGAAAGCTTGGGCAGTCCGTGGCAGGAGCCCAGGATCTTAGGAGTCCCTATTGTTTCCCCTCCAGCCCACGTGGTCCCTGGTCACCTCGCGTTGGGCGACGCGCGGGCAAAAGCCGCGGATACCCGGGATGCCCCTCTGTCCCCAATCCGTGCAGCAGCCTCGTCCCTCCTCCTTTTCATTCCCTGGTACATCTGCTCTGGGTTCACACTCACCCGCACAGGCAGGCACACCCACCCTCATCCTCCCGCGTCTGCTGTAACCAGCACCGCAGAATCTGAGCCGCGGCCGAAACATGCAGGTCGCGCAGCCGGACGCACGCCCTCCCCCGCCGAAGCCCGCATAAATTTCTCGCACTCAATTATTCATCAAGATTAATATTAATACAGCTCTCTGGGAGCCGGGCAGGGGTGCAAAGGAGGGCTTTTTTTTTTTTTTTTTTTGTGGGGGGGTTCAGTCCCAGGGGCGCAGGCCCGGAAGGCGCACGGAGGTGGCGGACTCTGGAAGCTGGAGACGCGCCTGCGCCCAATGGGCTCCGCTCGCCACCGGCTTCAGAGCCCTGGGGGCTGCGCGCAGAGACAGATGGGCTCGTGCTAGGAAAGGTCCGAGTCTCCTGGCCAGCTTTGCATAATAATGACGAGCTCAGTGCAGCTTTTATTATTTCTGGGACCGGGACGCAGCAGAAGGCTACAGTTCCACCACCTGCGGACCCTGTGACTGCCGAGAAGGCAAAGCCTTACTTTCCCCAGCTGAACAATGGGAAGCAAAATCACCCTTTTTGCAGGGCCGTGGTGAGAATTAAGCAGGCGCTTGTGAGAAGATTTGAGAAATGTAAACGCGCCTTGGATCAGTAGGCAGTGTGAGCCTGCCGCCTGGGACCTGCTAGGCGCCTCCAGGCGAGATCCTCAAAACTCCACCCATCTGAGGGCGCTCACTGACTGAGTTCCTAGCAGCCTTCCTCTCGGTGGGAGGCGCACTTTCATCCTGCGCCTGGGCGAGATTTAGGAGAGGGTTGGGTGGCAGGCCTTGTGGAAGCTCGCAGAGCGCCCCCGGGATGGCGCCTCAGGAGCCCGCACACCAGAAGGATCCGGCAGTTAAAAGCCAGGCATGGTATCCTAAGCCTTGAATTCTTCAGCACCTTCCAGCGAAGTAACCTGGAACAAATTTCTCAAACTTCTGTCCTTTCCACCTGCAAAATGGGAACATCATGTGCTCTGCCTTAATGAAACACAGGCGAAGCCTGCACTCTGCAAACTTCAAAAACTGTTCGGTTAATTCTAAGAGTTCTTGGAGGATAGTTTCTTGAGCAGAACGAAGGTCGACCAGGCAGCTGAGATAAGAGAAAGAGAAGGAAAAGGAAAAAAAGAAGAAGGAGAAAGAGAAAAGCTTAACCGAAACTAAAAGTAACTCTATGTTCACTCCTCAGAATCTAAATCTGTACATCTTCCTCTGTCTCCTTCCCTCTCCCGTCTTTCCCGTCTGTCCCATAACTATTGACCAGATCTGCATCCATTCAATCTAGGACCCTTTAAGAATCCTTCTAATTTCGTATTTCCTTTTTTTTTTTTTAAAGTTTAACCACCTCTTCATCTTTGTGCGTTTAACTTTGTATACCCCCCAGAAAATTTAGTTATTGTTTAAACCGTTGGTTTGTTTCTTTAAAAGTAATTCGTAAATGAAAAACCGGCCTCTTGCAAGTTGGCACTATGCTTGGCATTAACTTCTCTTGAGCCCCATGGGTGGGGAGGCCCTGTAAAGTTGTCAGGTGCACAAATTACCATTCTCTTGTCACCCACCAGTTAGTGGTTAATCTTCCCTCTCAGCAGAGGGGGCAGATAGAGAAGAAAACAGAGACCCCCCTCCCAGAAAGAGCTAGTAAGGACCCCAGCAATACTGGTGTTGCCGGCATCCCCTTTAAATTAAGCCTGAATGAATCAAGCTATTAAACTGCTACCCCCCCCCAGTATCTGCCCACAGCCTTGGAGAGATGAATTGCCCAATTTATTAGCACCCACTGGCCACAGCAAGGCACCCTAAGGTGTGTGAACACAGGTTAAGGGAAAGGGTAGAGAAGAGGAGGATGGGGTTGTTTTCAATTTTTAAACATCCCATTGAAAAACGCTTCATATTCAAAGATGGGACAAAGTGCAGTTGAATCCAGTACGCTGGGTTAGAGGGGAGTAGTTATTGCATGTCGCCATCTTCTCCATAAATAACTGCATTTGGACCCTCAGATATCATCTCTGACGCTGGACAGACATTTGAATTCAGCTGCTCTGGGGGAACCAGGTCTATTAAATCATGTGGACTATATCATGTCTAATCCTGGCTAAGAAGAAACTGGTTCTCTTTCTTGGCCCCAGAGATTCCCTGCCAACATGCACAGCAATTCATTCTTAAAACAGTCTAGAACAGTGATTTCCGACACTGGCTGTCCATTCAAATATTCAGAGAGGGCCTCTGAGAAAATTCTCAGGTCCACTTCTAGCAATTTCTGTCCCATCAGTCTGAAGGCCCCTGATTGGGTTTTTTGTTTTTTAATTTTACCTTGATAATTGATTCTACTGAGCAGCTAAAATCAGGAGCCACTGACCAGATGGGGCTTAATAATCTAGAGACAGACCCAGAAATAAGGCCCAGGGAAAGATTTGGAGCAAATTGGTGAGATAGGATACAAGATTGACCCTCTTCTCTTCCAATTCAGGGAATTAAAATCTTTCTAGGCCAAATCTTTTCTATCATTCTAGACAACCAGTTCTTGAAGTCATAAAAACATATGTCTTTGTTCTTCTGTTGTATACATCCGGAACTTGGTGAGAAAGCCACAATGCAGCATTGCATTATTTGGATTAAAATCCAGTTCTGGATCAGTAAAATGTTTCAGTTATTGCCCTTGTGGTGTGTTAGACTCTGTCACATTAGTCCACAAAACAGATTCTTCGCTTCTCATCCCAAAACCGAGGAAGATGGTAATGGCCACCTCAGGGTTGCCATGAGGACAGTACATGGGAAGTCACCAGATGTGGTGGTGCATGCTTATAATGTGAGAGCACTCTGGATGGCTGAGGTAGAAGGGATACCCAGTTTCAGCCCAGTCTGGGCAATTCAGTGACTTAGCGAGACTCTGTGTTAAAAAAAATTTTTTTTAATTGTCCTAAAGGGCTGGAGATATAGCTCAGTATGAAGATCCTGGTTTCAGTGTTCAATTCCAAAAAGGTGGGGTGGAAGTACTCAGCTCTCAGTATGACACATCATAAATGCTCACAGAGAAGTCATCCTAGGCACATTTAATTTACCCAGAGCTCACTTTACCCCAGCTGAAGTATGACCCTCTTGTCTCCTTTTAAACCTCACAAACAACTCCAAGTCTCCTAGTCAGTATTAAGTGAGTGGGGCTTGGACATGAGAACATAACACATCATCCTCACGGGCACAAGCTCATGGGTTCTCAAAAGGTCAGTGTAGAGAACCCCTCATAGGGTTGCATATCAAAAAATCAACATATAGCACACTCTGGTAGATAACTTACAGGATCTTAAAAAAGGAAGTTTAACCATAAGGAATATTTTCCTTTTTAATTTATTAGACTGCTAACTTAACAACCTAATCTATGCTGTAAGAAGTGCCTTTCTAGAGTTGTTCGAGGCAGTCATGGTATCACCGTAACGTTTACAGAGTGCTTACTATAATAGAACTTACATGCATAACTTTGTTTAATTCTAAAGAATTACTCTGTTACTCTCCATTCACAGAAAAAACTGAAGCCAAAAGAGATTAAGGAATTTGCTCCAAGTTACACAGATAGTAGTTGTTTCCATCAGGTTCCCAGCTAGGAAAGGATACAATGTTTAATTGAGTTTAATGGAAGGAACCATTTAAAAGGGAAGTTACCAGGACCTAGAGAGTAGCCTTCATGGAGAAGGTCAGCTGACTGAACATGAGACCTCTGTGGTCATAGCTGCCCAGTGGAAGGGGTCTTGGGAAGGTCCTTTGACCTCAGTTGCCTCCAGTCCTTCCCTCCAGGCTCCTTATTGACCAAAGCCAGCTGGAAAGTAGAGGGCAGAGGACACACGAAAACAAGTCATACACAGTTCTTGCAGTCTTCCCTCACTGGGACACATCAAGGTGGACAATGGTGGAAAGTGGATCTCCAGGGCCAGTAGATGAGACTGGGTTCCATTATAAGCTGTCTTCCTCCTGCAGCTCCTTGCTTTTGATCTCTAGGTTGTGAATCTACATGATAAGAATGCCACTGGTGCCCAGACAGGTTGTCCCGTAACATGCAGAGACCTTGTCACCATAGGCTGTTCCATCAGAGAAACAGACTTGGTCAGATCATTTGGTAGAAATCAGGAAAAAGTGTATTTCTGCAGTAGAAGTCACCGGCTGGCCTTACGCTTTCCAGTCCTGAATTCAATCATGTTCAATATTCTTCTCCAATTCTTATAGAACTGAGTTGAACAAAACTCACTGTGCTCTCCTACGGAATCGGTCCCCTGCCTGGTTCTCCTTCAGATTGCCTGGGGTTGGACATTGCAACTCTGTAGGGGAAGGAACAAGGGCACTCCTAATACAGAGAAGGGAAAAACACCACAGCACTGATTTCCCATTAAAGGCTGCTGAATAAGACCATTCCCCCTCATGATGAAAACAGAGGACAAATGTTTCAAGGTTCAAAGTTTATCAGAAGAAACTGACCTAGAGAGATAAGGAGCAGCCAAGTGACCTCAGAGTTACCCAATCCAAAGAGACTGTCTGAGAAGAATGAATTCGACTTTTGCCCTCAAATATAGTTACTGTTTTATCTGCCTTGATTTCTAAGACGCTTGATGCCCTCCAGAACCTAGTAATGAGAAAACCATTCACCATCAGCTCATTAGGTGAG